GCTGTGGCCCTGAAACCCCCTCGCTTGAAGTCAGAATCAGAACCGTCTGCAGGAAGACTGCCTGACTGGGTTCTCCTGATCCTATGAACCAGAGGACAAAAAAAAAATGTGTGGCCATATGGGCGAAATAAAGAATACAGTCAATAATATCACAAGCCACATTTCATGATGCAATCAAATCCTGAAAACTTTTGCCCTACACTAATTTCCATATTTCACATAATATCACTTAAAAATACATCAAAAACAATGCTTTTTTAAAAAAGCTGTCTTTAACCGATAAAAAAAAAAAACTCAAATACTCACTTTCCCCACAGTTTTAGAATGCCTTTCTGGTTCTTCTTGTGCTCTGGTGAAACAGGAGACTGCTGACCTGATTCTACTCCAGACGACATGGGTGAAAGGTCAGACAAGGTCGAGTCATCTGTCTTCTCTGCCTTTCCTGTGAACAGGAAGCAATCAACTTATTCAGTTTTGTGTTTCTGCATTTTCATAAGTTCACTATTGGACTGAACACACATTATTCTAGCTTTACCCACCAAGCACAAACTGATCATGCTTTCCCCGTGGTACTGCACCAAATTTTAGCCATGCAAGAGAGCAGAGGAAAAGAAAGCAAATACTTATGTCACTGAGGCTGCAGAGATGTTTTGAATTTTTACTTCTATAGATAAAGAAAAAAAGAGCTTCTTTTAAACTAAGAGAAGTAGAAATTAAAATAATTTTAACAGCAATAATAAAAAAAATCTATACAATAATTTAACATTTTCTTACAACGTTTTAAAAAAATACACTAATTACATCAGCTCTTTTGAGTTTGATATTTGATAGAAAATATTTTTCTAAGAAGACTTTTTAAATATGTCAATTAATGAATCTATCAAGAATGAGTCTATGTATAGCATCAATTATTTAATAATAAATATTACTATATGTAGAAAAATGCACTATTCAATTAAATATGCATTCATTATTAAAAATAATTAATTTATATATTTTTTTTACACTATGTAAAATGTATAACTTTCACATTTATAACTGTTCCAGTGGAGAATGACGGAGGTAGTTTAAGTTTGAGAGCCCTGCTCTAGAGTAAATCAAGACTGAATAAATAAGCAACCAAAGCAGGGCAAATGCTCATAAACTTTTCTAGTTTTCAGCATCAGACTTCTGTAGCCTATATGAAACCCAAATGGATTTCTCCTTATTCCTTTTTTCCATATACAGTACATTATATTTGCATCACATCAAGTTTAAACTCAAAGTCTAATCTCTGAGTGGAGAGAGCGAGAGTGAGAGTGAGAGTGAGAGAGAGAGAGAGATAGAGGAAAAATAAAAATTCCCTGCTTTTAGCTTTAAAGAATCAGGATAGGAGAGCTTAGGTTAAATCCAATATGACACAGCAAGAGTGTGCTCTGTGGTCGCATGCAAACTTGAGATTGAGAGGACAATACCTAAAGCTGGAGCACTGGCGCTTCGGCAGCGATCTTCGCACCGAGTGAGAGAGGATAAACACATGCGGAGACAGTCGCACAGCCCGAGAGATGGATTAGTCAGAGAGAAAGAGTAAAAGAGAAGATACAGAGAAGCCCATGCAAAGACACTGTAGTGTTAAAAAAGGCTGAATAAGATGGTTAAACAGCTGTTATGGTCAAAAAGCTTAGAGGACAAAAGTATTCAGAGAATGGAAGAGCAAACAAGCACAATCACACCAGCTGAGGTTATACAGTATTAATAAGATCAAAGGTCGTATGATAAAAATTATGCCTGTGTCTGAAAGATAAAAATGCAGTCAGTATACAGAAACATCCTATTATGCCTAAAAATTACATTTATTCAGAAATGTCATTTTTTTTTGTATTTTTATTTTAATATTTTATATTATATATATATATATACTTTTTTTTTTTTTTTTACTTATTGAAAAATTTACATTTGCTGAAAATTTACTCAGCCCATCCAAGATCCAAGTTTGTTTCTTCATTGTTATTTTTTCTTTCTTTATCAGATTTGGAGAAATTTAGCATTACATCACTTGCTCACCAATGGATCTTCTGCAGTGAATGGGTGCCGTGAGAATGAAAGTTTTTGGGTGAACTATTACTTTAATTTATAGCAAGAAATAAACATTGTACACACTAAATGCATGGTTCTCTCAAAAGCTCACTTAATGTGGTTTTCAAAAACAGCCCATGTTAACAAATTATTTCAACACAAAGAATTGTGGGTGCTGTGAGACAATTGCTTACTCAGGTTGAATTCGCTGTCCTCACTTTCATCAGGAGACAGTTGCAGTGGGGAAGACGGCTGCAATCTCACTCCATTCTGCTCTGGACGACTAAACTTGCCCGGAAGTGTCTGGTATTTGTTATTTTCAGGATTATATCGGTTCTGTGGAAGAAATGCATTTATCTTAGCGATTAAATATTTATGTTGAGATTTTTATATTGCTATAAATTATATTAACCATAAAAATGCATAATTACAAACAGCTTTAGAATTTAATTAAACATATAACATAAATAAATAAATGAACAAATAAACAAAAACATATTTTATTAGAAGATCAAGAACGAACACTGTAATATCAGTTGTAAGCGTTTTCTTATTAATAAGCATTTTTGTTAAAATAAGCCAGGCAAACAAAAAAATATGCATAGATTAGGTTAACTAATGCATGTGCATACAACAAAGGCTATTGTTGTGGTTCTGGTGTTGTGTTAGCTTTAGTTTATTGGTTTATGTTAGCTAATAGTACCTCTAAAACAGCCTCTACTGGTTGGCCCACTACATGCTTAAGAAAAAACAATAGTCAAAACACACAAACATACACTCAGTTAGACGAGTTACATTGTTAGTTGAAACATACAAAATCAAAGCACAATGTTAATCTAGCATTAAAGAGATCCGAGTTGAGTTTAGACATTCAGACTAAAAGCACTTTGTTAATGATACGAGTTAGTTGGCCACAAGAAGCAGAAGAGTCATATTTATTTATACAAAATGATTCTGGTTTTTGTACCATCTGTAAGCTTCCACTTTGGAGTTCTTCCAAGCTGGTGGACAGCATCCGTGGCATTGACCTGAAAATAAAACCATGAACAATTATATTAAACAAGCTTTGCTTACAGTATTGCAGAATAAGTGCATCTTGTTTGTTCAGGTTAAGTCACAGACTAACAAATGTAAGCTGGAAGCACATTCTCATGGTTAAAAACAAAAGATGACTGAAATTAAAACATCAGAAACAAAAACATTTGTATTATATGTAGCCTTAACCCAATTTAAAAAATAAAATGATAAAGATGAAAATGAAAACTGGTTTGCTATTTGATTTCCAATGCAAATTAAGCAGCAAAATTAGAATTAATTTATTCACTTTCAGTTTGCAAGCTGACAATAACATCGTTCCTGTCAAATTTAAATTACATTTTGACAAAAATAAATAAATAAAATAAAAATAAAAAAGCAATCAAGGCAAAACTACATTATTAAATTGAAAAAGAAAATTATATATATATATATATATAAATTACATTTACATTTTTACAAATCTTTCGCACCGTTAACATACATATTTTTCAACTGAATTTTTTTTAACCATTTATTTTTCTTTTTTCTCTTTCACAGTGTACAAAAAACATCACAAGAACAAGGCCACTGCTACTTTAGAACCCCTTTTAAACCAGCACAAACACACACACTCCACTTGCCATTGTCTGCTGTAAAAGCCCAAGTCGCCAATGCATACCATCGAGGTCTCCATGGAGGGCTGTATACTGCGAAAGCTGGGCCAGAGAAGGATAGAATGGGATGGAGTGCAAGGAAGAGAGATAGAGTTGACAAAATCACATTAGTTTGGGTGAATGATTAGGACAGCGAGTTTGCAACTAAATGGTCCTTCTCCCAAAGAGGCCTCCTGATCCCTACTGCCTTTAAGAACAGCGTCCCACTGAGACTCTGCTATCATCAATGTACTGTTATTAATACAACCTCTCGCTCACCTGGAGTCCAGTTCCCTCTGTAAACACGGAGGAGAGACCAGGAGTGGTGACGGGCCTCGGGAAGACATCTGTAGAGAGTAAAAGAAGTAAAACCTAAAACCTAACCAAAGTTGAATGGAAATATGGAGACAAATGGACCACAATCTACGCCTTTTAGCATTTTAGGGTTTCCCCTGAAGTCCGCTTATAATGTTAGTCAAGATTTCTTGCACCAAAAAACAATGTAATTTTTCCACATTGTCTCTGACAATTTCAAATTAAGGATTTTTGTTTTTGAAAGAAATTCAAATTCAGTTCTTTTATTCAGCAAGTATGCATTAAACTGTTAAAAAGTGACAGTAAAACATTTAAAGAGTTACAAAAGATTTCAAATAAATGCTGTTTTTTAAAACGTCCTATTTATCAAAGATGCCTGGAAAAAATGCATTATAGTTTCCACAAAGATATTAAGCAGCATGAATTACTTCTGTGACACTGAAGACTGGAGTAATGGCTGCTGTAAATTCAGCATTGCATCACAGGAATTTTTTTAACATATTTTTTATTAATTACGTATTTTTGTATTTTTAATAAACACAGCCTTGGTGAGCATAAGAGACCTCCTTCAAAAACATTAAACAAATCTTACCAACCCCAAAGTTTAAATGTTAGTGCATATAGACTTCTATATATAAATTATTATTGGCTAATTTCTTCACATGTAAAACTACCCACTTTATTAATGTGCTTATGGTTGCAACATTGTGATGATTTCTGAATGACCTGTTTTTTCATAAATGGTCTGGTTGTACTAGGAAGGGAATGTAAGCGGAACTCAAAAAAGCAAGATCATGCAGTTTTTCTCTGATATGACCCATTTAAAACCTTGAACAGTACCTGTAGCTCTGATCTGACAATGTCAGAGTATGCTTTATGCGTCGGGCCTCTTATTTTTCGAGTGCCATTAAGATCTTCTTCACTGCTGCCAGACAGCAACATATCGTTGGTCACTGAAGAGACACAGAACCACATTCAGGGTCAAATTCATCTAGTAATGGTGACTAAAACATTAAAATAGTAAAATTAAGTTTTACTCAAAGGTACCTGGAGAAAGGGCCACGCTGTCCTTCAATTTTCTGTATTGGACCAACAGAAGATGGAGTTCCTCTATGTGTCGATCCTTCAGAAACAAAATAGAGTTGATGTTTAGTCTATAAACAAACCCCTCTACCTGTTACAAAATGCATGCTGCTTCCTGCAGATTTTGGACCTGTTAACAAATGCAAAGTGCACAGATGCTGACTTACCTTTTCATTATTGGCAGCTATTAGCGTCTCCATTCCAGTTTTTAACCTCTGCAGCTCTTGATCTGGAACATAAAAAGCAAAACTCAGTTAATATATGCACCATTACATCATTATGGCAGTGTTGGGGAAGCTAGTTTAAATTATATGTAGCATTAGACTTTCAATGTAGTTAGACTACAAGCAAGATTCGCTAATATGCAGTTATATACACTAATCTACTTGCAAAAAGAAACTTCATTAGATGATTTTTTTTTAGATATATAATCTAAATCAGGGGTGTCAAACTCAATTCCTGGAGGGCCGGAGCCCTGCAGAGTTTAGATTCACCCCTAATTAAACACACCTGATCCAACTAATCAAGTCCTTCAGGATTATTTAAAAACTACATGGTATGTGTGTTGGAGCAGGGCTGGAACTAAACTCTGCAGGGCTCCGGACCTCCAGCAATTGAGTTTGACACCCCTGATCTAATGAATCAGTGACAACAATAATTACATTATGCATATACTGTAGGACATGTTGCTTTGGCAGTAAATTAAAATACTAACTTCCCGTGCAACATGACTTTATATTATTTGTTTGTGTCATTTTAAAACACCACACCACTATTAAAACCACAGTGATATAGTTCATTCTGTTAAATTTACTCCAGATGGCTCACAGTTTATGTGGGGTTGATTTAGGCAATGGAAAACAATTTTGCCATTTTAGATTTAAGATTCTTCAGGGGCTTACGTAAGGCCGCTGATCAAAATACATCATGTTAATACAAACTGGACACACCCTCAGGCTTCAGGTCTGGAGATCTACATGCCGAATGTTCCCACTGGGTCCTATCTTGAAGTATTAACCATAAAAATGCATAATTACAAACAGCTTTAGAATTTAATTAAACATATAACATAAATAAATAAATGAACAAATAAACAAAAACATATTTTATTAGAAGATCAAGAACGAACACTGTAATATCAGTTGTAAGCGTTTTCTTATTAATAAGCATTTTTGTTAAAATAAGCCAGGCAAACAAAAAAATATGCATAGATTAGGTTAACTAATGCATGTGCATACAACAAAGGCTATTGTTGTGGTTCTGGTGTTGTGTTAGCTTTAGTTTATTGGTTTATGTTAGCTAATAGTACCTCTAAAACAGCCTCTACTGGTTGGCCCACTACATGCTTAAGAAAAAACAATAGTCAAAACACACAAACATACACTCAGTTAGACGAGTTACATTGTTAGTTGAAACATACAAAATCAAAGCACAATGTTAATCTAGCATTAAAGAGATCCGAGTTGAGTTTAGACATTCAGACTAAAAGCATTTTGTTAATGATACGAGTTAGTTGGCCACAAGAAGCAGAAGAGTCATATTTATTTATACAAAATGATTCTGGTTTTTGTACCATCTGTAAGCTTCCACTTTGGAGTTCTTCCAAGCTGGTGGACAGCATCCGTGGCATTGACCTGAAAATAAAACCATGAACAATTATATTAAACAAGCTTTGCTTACAGTATTGCAGAATAAGTGCATCTTGTTTGTTCAGGTTAAGTCACAGACTAACAAATGTAAGCTGGAAGCACATTCTCATGGTTAAAAACAAAAGATGACTGAAATTAAAACATCAGAAACAAAAACATTTGTATTATATGTAGCCTTAACCCAATTTAAAAAATAAAATGATAAAGATGAAAATGAAAACTGGTTTGCTATTTGATTTCCAATGCAAATTAAGCAGCAAAATTAGAATTAATTTATTCACTTCAGTTTGCAAGCTGACAATAACATCGTTCCTGTCAAATTTAAATTACATTTTGACAAAAATAAATAAATAAAATAAAAATAAAAAAGCAATCAAGGCAAAACTACATTATTAAATTGAAAAAGAAAATTATATATATATATATATATAAATTACATTTACATTTTTACAAATCTTTCGCACCGTTAACATACATATTTTTCAACTGAATTTTTTTTAACCATTTATTTTTCTTTTTTCTCTTTCACAGTGTACAAAAAACATCACAAGAACAAGGCCACTGCTACTTTAGAACCCCTTTTAAACCAGCACAAACACACACACTCCACTTGCCATTGTCTGCTGTAAAAGCCCAAGTCGCCAATGCATACCATCGAGGTCTCCATGGAGGGCTGTATACTGCGAAAGCTGGGCCAGAGAAGGATAGAATGGGATGGAGTGCAAGGAAGAGAGATAGAGTTGACAAAATCACATTAGTTTGGGTGAATGATTAGGACAGCGAGTTTGCAACTAAATGGTCCTTCTCCCAAAGAGGCCTCCTGATCCCTACTGCCTTTAAGAACAGCGTCCCACTGAGACTCTGCTATCATCAATGTACTGTTATTAATACAACCTCTCGCTCACCTGGAGTCCAGTTCCCTCTGTAAACACGGAGGAGAGACCAGGAGTGGTGACGGGCCTCGGGAAGACATCTGTAGAGAGTAAAAGAAGTAAAACCTAAAACCTAACCAAAGTTGAATGGAAATATGGAGACAAATGGACCACAATCTACGCCTTTTAGCATTTTAGGGTTTCCCCTGAAGTCCGCTTATAATGTTAGTCAAGATTTCTTGCACCAAAAAACAATGTAATTTTTCCACATTGTCTCTGACAATTTCAAATTAAGGATTTTTGTTTTTGAAAGAAATTCAAATTCAGTTCTTTTATTCAGCAAGTATGCATTAAACTGTTAAAAAGTGACAGTAAAACATTTAAAGAGTTACAAAAGATTTCAAATAAATGCTGTTTTTTAAAACGTCCTATTTATCAAAGATGCCTGGAAAAAATGCATTATAGTTTCCACAAAGATATTAAGCAGCATGAATTACTTCTGTGACACTGAAGACTGGAGTAATGGCTGCTGTAAATTCAGCATTGCATCACAGGAATTTTTTTAACATATTTTTTATTAATTACGTATTTTTGTATTTTTAATAAACACAGCCTTGGTGAGCATAAGAGACCTCCTTCAAAAACATTAAACAAATCTTACCAACCCCAAAGTTTAAATGTTAGTGCATATAGACTTCTATATATAAATTATTATTGGCTAATTTCTTCACATGTAAAACTACCCACTTTATTAATGTGCTTATGGTTGCAACATTGTGATGATTTCTGAATGACCTGTTTTTTCATAAATGGTCTGGTTGTACTAGGAAGGGAATGTAAGCGGAACTCAAAAAAGCAAGATCATGCAGTTTTTCTCTGATATGACCCATTTAAAACCTTGAACAGTACCTGTAGCTCTGATCTGACAATGTCAGAGTATGCTTTATGCGTCGGGCCTCTTATTTTTCGAGTGCCATTAAGATCTTCTTCACTGCTGCCAGACAGCAACATATCGTTGGTCACTGAAGAGACACAGAACCACATTCAGGGTCAAATTCATCTAGTAATGGTGACTAAAACATTAAAATAGTAAAATTAAGTTTTACTCAAAGGTACCTGGAGAAAGGGCCACGCTGTCCTTCAATTTTCTGTATTGGACCAACAGAAGATGGAGTTCCTCTATGTGTCGATCCTTCAGAAACAAAATAGAGTTGATGTTTAGTCTATAAACAAACCCCTCTACCTGTTACAAAATGCATGCTGCTTCCTGCAGATTTTGGACCTGTTAACAAATGCAAAGTGCACAGATGCTGACTTACCTTTTCATTATTGGCAGCTATTAGCGTCTCCATTCCAGTTTTTAACCTCTGCAGCTCTTGATCTGGAACATAAAAAGCAAAACTCAGTTAATATATGCACCATTACATCATTATGGCAGTGTTGGGGAAGCTAGTTTAAATTATATGTAGCATTAGACTTTCAATGTAGTTAGACTACAAGCAAGATTCGCTAATATGCAGTTATATACACTAATCTACTTGCAAAAAGAAACTTCATTAGATGATTTTTTTTTAGATATATAATCTAAATCAGGGGTGTCAAACTCAATTCCTGGAGGGCCGGAGCCCTGCAGAGTTTAGATTCAACCCTAATTAAACACACCTGATCCAACTAATCAAGTCCTTCAGGCTTATTTAAAAACTACATGGTATGTGTGTTGGAGCAGGGCTGGAACTAAACTCTGCAGGGCTCCGGACCTCCAGCAATTGAGTTTGACACCCCTGATCTAAATGATATAATTCATAATTTAATCTGAGACATATATTTCTGACTCAAGAACCAATGGGAGTTTTGAACAAATGAACACTGATTAGGCTGACAACATCAAAACTGAATGTGTAAATTTACAATAAATACAATACTAGAATACACCCTAATTTAAATGAACATAGATATGCACAGCAGATTTAATGAAATATTCTGCAGTATATGAAAAACATTTAGGACAAATTGATTGAATAGAAAGAACTAGACTTTGATTTACTAGAATGAATGAACTTTTCTGAACTACAGTTAAGCTAAATAAAATGTTGCTACTTTTAGTTAGTTACTCATCCAACACTGCATTGTGGTGACACACTTCATTTACAAAACACACGGAGAGATGATGTTGAGGTAAACCAGCCCTCCAGGGAAAAAAAGTCTCTGTTGTCAAGTGACAGTCCAGAAAAGTTCAGAAAGACGTGATGGTCTTTCTGAAGGTTTGCCAGGAGAAATACAGTAGTTGACAGGTGAAACACTCTTTAAAACAACATTCTCTCTAAGTGTGTACATGCTTGTCCAGGTTGACACATGCTTTTTAGCCAAGCAGTGATTTATTTCAAGACTCATGCTCGGACAAACTGCCTCTGTCACGTCAGTTACCTCAACCTCATCCTGCAGTGTTAACCTGGTTAGAGCTGGCTGACCACCTCAGCTAAATTAAGTGAACCAGCTACCATGTTTCAAAAACCAGCATGACCTCCTTAAACTAGTATGACCTAGTATTTCCAGCAAGGAAACCTTCCTTCACAACACCATATATAGAAATAAATTCCAAATAAAATCAAAGTCAACTATAATCTATAAAATAATGGCGCCATTGTACTTTTTTATATATTATTTTTTATACTTTATAGTATACATTTTAATTAATAATATTTTCTAATTATTGTGCAATATATTTAACATCACATAATAAAGGATTACAAATAAAATCAAATAATTCAATATTATAAAGCAATTTATAATATTTTATAAATTGATTTATTTAATGTATAATATAATATTTTATATATTTTACATATTAGATTTGAAACTTTATACTGCATACTTTAATTATTATTAATATTATTTTCTAATTGTGTATTACATTTAACTTCACATATACAAAGGTTTACAGTCAATAAAATACACCCACTATTGGGCTGTTAATAATGCACAAATTACGAGATTAGCTGCTAAAATGTGATAAAATGAAGTTCAGCAACATACAAAAAATAGTAGCTGTGAGTAGTTGATTCATCCTTTCTTTTTCTTTCTTTGAACTGGCCCTGGTACTATATTAATGAGTTTTAGCTCACAGACCTATGGGAAAGCAAAGAGTGGCTGCGGGGTGTGACAAGCATGATTCAACCACTTAACACCCCCTCCACACCCACACACACACACACACACACACACACACAGGTAGCCATTGAGGGGATTGGTGCGGCAGGCTTGACAGCATGCCAGTGTACATTAGCCAGATTGACAGAGATGCTAAGGGGCAGCTGAATCAAGCTGGGGGACAGCATGGGAGGATCTGAAATGTGACTTTGAAATGTGCGCTTAAGTTTGTCTCTCAGCTTTTTCTTACACACTTCCTCTACAACAGGAAGCGGTGAAGAGCGGAGGTAGTGATTACCAAAAAGATCCATATGTTAGTAATTTCAACACACACACACAAACATTTTTCAGCACACATCGTCACTCCCATGCAGCTAGTATTTGGTACTTTCCACAAACAGGGTAAACATCAGTGTCAGATTATTACATTATACAAAGCAGCAGAGGCATAAAAAAACTGTGTGAAAACTATTATAGACTGTATGTTAAATAAATTATCATCTAACGTAAAATTAATCTAGCATCATCCTTGTTACCCATGTTATCATAAGAAAAAAAATTTATTTAATTTAATTTATGGGAAATATAAGTTAATTTCAAATCAACATTTGTTCTTAAACTTAATTTTGGCTAAATTTGCAACCTTGTTACTCATTTCTGCATACACACACACACACAAAACTTATTTAGTAATTCATACATTTTGTCTATTTGATTTAGATGTTTCTTTGATGTTTATTGCTAGAAAATAGCAACATTCAACAGTCAAACTAATCAGGGTTTAAAACCGTCCTTAAAGGGGTCATATGATGCTATTTTAAAGATCATTATTTTGTGTATTTGGTGTAACAGAATATGTTGACATGCTTTAATGTTCAAAAAACACATTATTTTTTAAAATACTGTACATTATTGTAGGTCCTCTATGCCCCGCCTCTCTCAAACGCGTCGTTTTCAACAAAGTCCCCTCCTTTGACAAGCGCAGTCTGCTCTGATTGGCCAGCTGACCCAGTGCATTGTGATTGGCCAAACACCACAAGCACGCGTCGGAAATGTAACGCCCCTTACCATAATCGATATTTGCTTTGAAAGCTGAAGCTCGCAAGACAGTTAATAATGTTGTTAGTTTTACCATCAGTTCAAGCCCGAAAGGGCAACAGAGTCGCGTGACAGACACAGTGATGATGCAGTACACAAGCCGCAGTTAAGACAGCTGACGTGCTATGATTTCTGACAGGCTGTTCACACTCCTGTGATGTGACCCTGTTCCCCACACACAC